CGCCATGAGATGTGTCAGGCTTAAACCAAAATAAACAACCCTAGACCTATTGGGTTTAGACCCACTCGCACCTCAGAACGCTACCCTAGATCTTGGGCAGTCGGATTAAATGCCTAATTATCTGACCTCATTTTCAGGTCTCGAGTCGTATTTACGGAGAGTTTTATTGATGACTGCGGCAGGATACGACTAGGGAAATAAAAAGCCTGAGAAAATAAACATATCGAGAAGTTTGGGGAATAAAATCCTAGTGGTATTAAGTGTGTTTGAAAGTAATTTGGCGACGTGAAAATACTCAGTACTGCTGACATCACAATTTTCTGGTAATATTGGAAACTCGCGACTACGAGAATTTTTTCTAAACCCAGCTGCGATCTATTCGACAGGTCAACAAATTGCGGATATTTTGACAGCTCTCAACGAACTCTAACTTTATAATAAGGTGGCCCTCGTTTCTGCACAGTAAGCGGTCGTGGACCACCCAGAACCAATGCATCAAACGTGCTATTGCATCGCTCTTACAAGTTGTGTGTCTACAGGGGTGTCCAACTAGTCACTATACATTATCTTTTTCAAAGGAAGTTGCGTTTCTTGGGAAAAATAGGAAACCTTATTGGATATATTTTGGGTGCTGGTCCCCCAGCTGGTGGAGTGGAACAGAGAGGTAGGTGCGGCGCAAGTCTACTCATTAAAATCTAATACAAGTCCCCGTCTCTAAACCACCCTGCTGTAGAGCAACCGGTAGACTCAGTTGAAACTGACAGTTGAGCGGTTGTCATGAGACTTGAATCAACGTGCAAAAAATAATCAGCACTAACAACATGCTGAAAAACTCGATAATCGTTCGGTTTATTTACCAGTAAGCAGTTGTAGTGACTAGCTGCGCACGAAGTGTGCTTGTGAACGCTTGTCGGACTAGCTCAAGTCAAAGTGCACTTTGGGAACGCTCGCTGGTTCCGGCTTTTGTAACAGCCAATCACAGACCGACTCACGCGGGACTTGATGTGACGACTGCCGAGCAGACATCACTTCAGACGCCGTCCGCTGGCTTGCGGTTGCGCGTTGGTCTGATAGTCAATTTCTTACTGCATATTCTCCCAGTTATTCTGTGCAGAATAAACTTTTCCTACAACTCTGGCCTCCCCATGATTTTTATCCCCCCTAAAAGAAACGGGCCTGAAGTTCGCAGTTGCAGGGTTAACCTTACTAAACCCAGTGCGATATAGTCCCCGTGTGCATAGTGACTGTTCTCGTCTCTTCTATTTCTCTATGCATTTTTGTATACGGTATCTAAATCAATGCGCCGATTGATGCAAGACCCATCGAACTTCATGACTTTAAGAAAACCTGCCTTTTTGGAGGGGCAGATCCTAATGATGCAAATTTTGTCCCAGGGAAAGTGTGCCCGGTAGTAAGGGTGTTCATGGTCATTTGAGACAATCTGCCGCGCCTCTTATTTACTATTCGATATTTCTAGATGTATGTAGAGTCAGATATTTCCATTTCCTCTCAGTTATCATTCGAAGAGGCGTAAACCTATCAGCATTTAACAGCGTCGATTTTGCTTAGACTTCGTACGCATATTATTCCTTTGCCCATCGCTTGTCAGTTGAGGCCGTAGCAGCATTATATAATGAGCGTCTGACAAGGAGCTTGTCAGGTTCCGACTGCAGTTG